CTTGGAACCTATGCCAAAAAGAGAAGATAAGGAAAAAATGCCAGACAATCACTCCAAATTTCTGATTTCAAAGTAGGGAATTTCCTGTACTATGAGTACCAGAGTAACGATAATTCTGAGGGCAATACCCAGAATACCCTGACCAGAACCAATTAAAAAATTTTTTTTTGGTTCAAATCAGGGATCGAGTCTGGAACCTCCTCATCAAGCGCCCATAGTACTTAATCACTGTACCAACGAAGAGCATAACCACACCCCGTAATGTGAAACCGACCACGCGCCGCAGGCCGAGAGTATTCCATAAGTGTGACCAATATTCAGACGATAGTCGATAGAATATTTATCGACATTTTGCGCAATGAACTGTCATGTTACTCCATCTTCAAAAAAGACAGACTATTGTCATTATTATTGACACAAACATCGAACAAACACAAAGAAAAATGACTTCGAACTCACTGGATTCGAATCAGTGTCTGTTGCCTCATCGTGGTTACCACTCTTACTAACTAGGGTAGCCATGTTGACATGGCTGACGCCAAGACGCTGGTTTAAGACCAGACCTTGTAAGACTTGGAAAGCCGCCAGCGTGTTCGGTTAGAACCAAAAGTAAACTTACCAATAGGTTCTAAGAATACAGTGTTGGCGAATCGCACTTCGGGGATCCATAGCGCACAGACGACATGCGCCCACGTCCCTTGATCAGTTTGCTTGAATGCACCTACAAACAATCACGGATATATTATGTTAAACCCTTTTTATAAAAATAATTTTAACAATTTGTCAAATATGCTTTGCTGTTTTTAACCGACTTAAAAAAAAAGGAGGTTCTCAATTCGACTGGGATTTTTTGCATGTATGTTACGCGATAACTTCGGCAATTGTGAACCGAATTTGATGGTTCTTCTTTTTTTTTGTTGGAAAGAGGGTGCCGCAGTAGTACTCCCATTTAAAATATTCCACCTCAAGGGTGACAAACTAGGGGATGAATCCGGTTTCACGCAATTTCTGATAACCGCTTTCAATAAAACTTAGTAAATAGATGTTCCACGAACTTTTGAGATCGGTTTTTTTGTTGTATCTTTTTGTTCCAACTAACTTTATTTCTTGATAAATTTTACAGTAATTTATGTAAATTCACACCCTTGGTATAATAAAGCCACATCTGCAAAATTACAACATTTCTGGAGAGAGATTTAAAGATTCTATGAATGAAATTACTCGATGACTTTTAATGCTTTTTTAGTAGCAGTAGAGCTCCTCGTGAAAGTTTCTCCAGGGAAGTACTGCCACCTTACCTATTTCTGCTGCCAAGCAGTAATGTCAGCATTGCAGTGTTTCGGTTTTGAAGGGTAAGGCGTTTTGGTGAACTTACAGGGACATGAGACTTGTCAACTTATGTCTCATGGCGACAGGCAGAGTGGCAGTGCCCCTCAGATCTTTGTGATTGAAAGCTTTGAGTGGCACTGCAACTGCTATGGACAGGCGTGACGTTTAACACCAGGCGCACGACTTGTTCATCCACTTGGTGTAATAAAAAAAGGTTAAATAGTAGAATTATAAAATTTCACATCTACACAATTTGTTTCATGTAGTTGAATTATTTTTGACTTTCATTTGCAAGCACTTTTGACGTATGAGCACATGTGGATTTATTAAACCAAGGATACGGTTTTATATGATACATGTTACAAAAAATTTTTTAGTATTTACTGTGGCCAAACATACCTCCAGTATTTGGGCACAGTACACAGTTGACAACACGAGATGGTGATTGAAGGCATCTCCTGCACAGCCACTGGCCCTCAGGGATGTATGGGACCTGACAAATGCATAAATAAAGTGGTTAAACGTATTTACTTAATTTGTAGCTGTTTGTAAATATAATACCAGTCACTCTGTTCAATAAAGTCAGTTGGTGCTACTCTGGCAGTCTTAGCTAGATTTGTTTATTAGGTGCTTATTCTTGTAGCTTTGTAAAAAGGAAAAACATATGAGCCCACACATATTAAAAAAAAAATAAAACAATAGAGGTGAGTTTTATGTGGAATATCAAAATTAAAATATATCCTTTAAAAGAATGCCAGTGTTTAAGAACACTGGCATTCTTTTATGATAAGATCATAAAACTAACAAGTTTTGATACCTCCCCTTAATAGGAGCATCATGTATATAATAAGTAACAGTGTAACAACAAATTTGAAAATTACATTATACAAACACACACTAACACCAACTATACAGACATAAATAATCAAACTTAATCTATTCTAAACCTAACATTTTTGTACATTTCAGATGTCGCAGTTCAGGTAAGCATTTAGTGAGAATATCTGTTTTATTTAACGAGCGTATATGAGGCGAAAGATCTGTGTCAGGGTCTTAGCATGTCGGAGACGAGAGACGGCTGTGGTCCTGCCTACCCTGATGGGACAAGTGCATGAAGTATATGTATGTATCAATTAATTAATTATTAGAAAGACCAGGTGTGCAAAATGCTGTGTAATGCCTAATAATCGAGTCTCATCTCACCCCATAACAATCCTGGTGTACGGCTAGATTGCACATGTCACAGAACAAAATGACATTAGTGTTCTGGCATTCACCGTCCATGCAGATACAGCACACAGCATCTTCGTCCACTGTTGCTGATGTTTGCTGACCACTCTGAGATGCCTAGTATAAAAAGCAAACGAATATTCACAGTTTTTATAGGAAATGTCACCAGACATGTTGTATTTATTCTAAATGATGTCATGGTGGGTCAAAATTAAATTAATAATAAAGTTACAAGCATAAGAATGTTAAGAGTTATTAAGAAACTGCAATAACTAAGTAATAGAGACCATTATTGAGTGTGTGCGTTAATAGAGACATCATGTCATAATGGTACTATAAGCCAAGTTGAAGCCTTCCATAGTTTTGTTTGCAAGCTGATATTCGCTCTAACTTGTAATTTATAGATCCTTTTTTTTAAACGCTTTTGTTAAATAATTAAATATTATTTAACCCTTAAACATCGTTGTTGACAAGAACATGTGTAATGCAGGTGGCCGCTATTAATCACCATTACCTGTATGAAAAAGAACCAATAAAGGGGTAATGCATCGACTTCGCTAACAGAACACTATACACTATATAGACAGCATCTCATGTCTAGTACATTCACGTAGGTTAATTGATAAAATGAAAAATATGCGTCCATAGTTATCACACTCCATTTAATTGCAATTTGTTGTGTTAGTTCATTACTTTCTCTAGATCATTGTTAGTAACATTAGTTATTAGGTTTCAGCAAGGAACTGTAATTGTAAAGAGTTGTCTTTTAAACTGTGCTTTAACATTTTTTAAGAGTACAAAAGTAAATAATATACCTGAAAATATGACTCCTTTTCCAATCTGTCCATAAGTAATTCCAAAGTATCGACGGACACAGGGGGCAATCCCTGCTTTGCCCGTGTCTTGTTAACTATCGCCAGCCACGCTGTGTCTTCTTCATCTACATCATATTCCACTTCTCCATCTAGTTCCTCTGCTGACTTCTCTATGAATCGTATGTATGCATTTGGTTGGGGTGGGGCATCGCATATTCTTTCATTGTAGTCTGGGATTAACTGCATAGATATTTTTCTCATAAAATCATCAACTACATGAAGGAACACAAATATATACCATGATAAAAATGGGACATTTGCAAATTCAATAATCTATATAAAAACTCCATCACCGGAAACATTTCCTGGCATTTCAGATGACCTACATGTTTACAAATTATTATTAATATTATTATTAGAGTGGCTTTATTAGGGGCATATGTAGCCCCTCATCTCTGTAACCCTCAGTTGATCACTACTAATTACAGTTCGGAGCCAAGGCCGATAGCATTGAAGAACGGAAGGACTCTCCTCGCTCTGACAGATTTAATGTCCTCTGGTTGTGGCACGTGCCTTCCCAGTATAGAGCTTCGTACACCCAGGGGGTAACATTGGTGAGAAGATGAGCAGGAGTTTCATCTACCTCATGGCAGAATCTACACTCTCTATTCTCTCTCTGCCCAGTATTTGACATGTGCTTGTTTAAGCCACAATGTCCTGTTAAGACTCTAGTGAGCATTTTGATGCTATTCCTGTCCAATAACAGAGCTTCTCTACAATATTTAACACTGTAGGCAGTCTTTTGGATCAGGGCTTTTGAATGCTCAAGACCCTTACTCTGTAGCCACACTTCTCAGGAGATTTGTTCTCTATACAATTGGAAAAAATTGTAAACAAAATGAAAGTGAATGTAAATATTTTTTTTTCAGACAAAAAAATAACCCCAGGTCCTTGCAAAAGAAGTCCATTATCTACCCTTGGGTAGATACCTCTATTTAAATTGAGGTTAAAAACATCCTAATTTCAACAGGGAAGATGGTTTCTCATGAATAAACCTAAAGAGACATAACACTGCAGTACTAATTAATATGTATTAATTTCATTTTATATAAATTAAAATCCATATTGTTAAAATAAAATAATTTGTGACACATAATGTAGCATAAATTGGAATGATCTATGTAAAATTACAAAATAGTAAAATATTATATTATATAAGTATTTGTAAAATTATTTGTAATTTAAGAAATAAAAATTACAAATAAATTAATAAAATAAAATAAATCAAAATTACAAGAAGGGTTTTATTATTAGTTATATATTTAATTTATTTATTATTTATAAAACCTTACTTGTAATTTCACAAAGAAATTTTAGAAATTTTTCATTTAACCTTTAGTGAATATTCAGAGAAAAAAACATTATAAATATGTAAAGATAACAATAATAACAATAATGTTTGATAATTTTCTTTATAATATTTAAAAAAAATGTATATAAATTTTTAAATAAAAATTAGTAACAAATACTGATTTCATTAATATATTTTAAGTATCTTTCATAGTCTAATAAAACATATGCATGTCTTACTTTGAAGCTGGCTTCAGGCAATTTCACATGAGGCTCCGGAGGCGGCTCCACAAAATTTACAGGCTTTTCCAACTCTGCATTCTTTTTCTCCCAATCTTCCAAAGACATTATAGGCAAAGGTTGATCTATGGAAATCCTACTTATCTTGCCATCTATTTCAAACTGCACTACTTTTTGAGCTTCAGCAAAAGTTAAAGCTTCTTTCGGAGGGCTTTGAAGGGCTATATCACCCGTAGGCACGGGAGCTCGCGTCCTCCAACCCTTTTTCCTATTCACAACCGACGGCGTCACAGGCGTGGGATTATCATGATCGTAGTTCACCAGATGGTACTGCAACCCACACAAACTTTTATACACTTTATCGCATTTCTCTAAAGGACACTGGTACGGCGGAGGACGATTTTGCCGCAGTTTTTTGCAAAACTCTAACACGTCAAAATCCAAACCCATTTTACTCGTATACAAAGAACTATGTCATTTACTGAAACGATACATCACTGTAATTAAAGTTCAGTTCATTTTATTAAGGTGTTAACGGTACATAATTATCGCTTTATACTTGATTAATATGAAAAATATGCAGCACAGGTGAAAGGCAGACGCATTATCACAATTTAACTAGTTTTTTTTTAATAAAGTAAAAGTAAGTATAGCAAACATCAAAGACGAAGTGGATGAAAGATAATTAAATTGAGTAGGTAACCCAGACTTGGCAAGTCAACGTTTAGCGCGGGAATACACGTTCGATTTTTCTATCCGATAGTCGGACCAGACTATCGTAAGGCGTGTACCATAAATTTAAACTTTATATTTATTTTACACTCAATCCACAATACATAATTACTATTTATTTGTTATAAATGTCGTTCATATTTTTTTCAAGATCGCACATGCCCCGCTTATATAGCAACATTTATATAGAATTACTATCAAACCGCTTAGATAAAATTACCTGGTAGAATTTAAAACACTTTACACGTTTGGCCGGTCGCTGGTATGAGAAAAAGAAATCAGCTATTGCCAAACAAAGACAAGCAGTTGGTATTTTAACACCACTACTTGCCATTCTTCAAGCTTAAATATTAAGGTCTAAAGTTAATTCAACTAATATATCGTCTGCTTAAAAGTAAAACCACATAAGTGACATTTTCCACAAAAAAATCTTTAAATTATGTACAACCTATTATAGCAAAATCACCACCTTTATTAAGTTTGTAGCTTTTTTGCTATTGAGTTTCACGTGCAGAAAAATAGTCATTTTTTATCTTAGCTAAACAAATTAAATCTTTTTGTTTAAAATGTCACTTTATTTAACCGATAAACACGATATATAGATGGTCTGGTTTTGAGTTTCTTAATTATTTGATATATTTTTCAGCGTAAATAATAATAAAATAAATACTGCGAATAAATAAATTTTATTACATGTGGGGAATTTGTGGGGAATATGAACTTTGTTTTTAAAGTTTTTACTTTGATTTTTGAGGATTTTGAATAATTAGCATAGGCAATATTGCAAATCGGGAAAGAATCAGACGTGTAGGTATTTCGTTTCCCCGCAAAAGTGTAGAGAGCGAGTCTTCAGACAATCGGGCCGGCAATAAAATCGGATGCTATTTCCGACTCGGACGATCCGAATATCAGGTCGGACGTGTAATGATTGTTTAAACAAATATGTTGTACGAACGTCTTTCAATAGTCGGATCAGACTATCGGATTCGACTATTGGATGGAAAAAACGAACGTGTATTGCAGCACTTAAACAACCACAACACTAGAAACAAATAATCAAATAATTGGCTGACGTTTGGCATACTAACGTAAAAGAATCTGAATGATTAAAAAAAACTTTTTAATTCATAGTCCAATTTATTTACGTGCGCATGCACAGAAATAAAGTATCATTAAGAAAAGTGGTGGTGTGAAACAAAACCGGAAAAAAAACTGTTTATCCATAGACTAGTAGAAATTTCAAGAATTTTCTACAATAGTTTGTTTATGATTTTGTATTTGTGTCAAAGGTGCTATACTGTTGTCTCTTCGATTATTGTGGAATTTTACCCGCATTTTGTGGACGAATAAAGCGATTCCGAGATTGAAAGTATTAATATCGAATAGGTGTTGTTACAATGGATATTTATGGGTATTCTGCGTATCAGTATAACCAGTCGGATGAGTTAGCGAAGCAGATGTTTGCTCAACAAACTTTGGCCTCCACGATGCCGTATAACAGACCACCAGAGCCCCATATCATGCCGCCACCATCAGGTGCTCCGTGGAACGTGGAAGGAATGCCTTGGGGAATGCCCTCTCGTCCGAGTGTAGTGCAGTTCACTGGCCAACAACCTATGGATCCAAAGTTTACGTCGTCTCCAGTAGTTCATTGCAAGCGAAAAAGTCTTGATGTGGAACCAGTAATGTAAGTGTTTAGTAATTACTTCCGTAGATACAATTAACTAATCTATGTGACTTGGATTTACCTGCAATAAATTCATATAGGAAACTGTCTCTTAAAAGGACAGTTTACTGGGTGCTCCCACTGTACTAATGTGTCCTTATGCTCCTACTTGTAGGACTTTGGTCCTGCCTTTTGAGATTAAATATAGCCTCATGCTCTCAATGACTGTTGTCTATTTTATCAATTATATAATTATATAATTGATATTGTAGTACTCAAGTGTATGTTAGTGTCTTATAGTTTGATCAAAATCTTTATTGCAACTTTTCTGATGTATAATTATTCTGTGAACTTGAATAAACAATTCACTTTCTTCAAATTGTGTACAGTCCTTTGTCAACTGGTCAGGTTTGTATTTAAGAGTGAAAGTAAAAAGTTTGTCATCACTCACTAGACCATTTAAATGATAAAATCATTCATTCTGTTTATTATAATGTATTAATTCATTCAGACCTGCAAAGCAACTAATAACTGAGGAAAAGATGGCAGCGCACCTCAACAGTCTTCACATATCATCAGACTTCACACCTCACAAACTAGCAACTGAAGATGTTATGGATGTTGGAATGGAACCTATACCATCTACAAGTACTGCCACATCCTGCCCGGTGCTCATGACTGAGAAGTTCAAGGGACATACTATAGTGCTTTCTGATGAAGTTAAAAATGTGCATGATGAACCTTTGTTGCCTGCTGCTCTTATTGAACGGTGAGTTTTACTGGTTTCTTTTTATTATTTGCGTTTTCATTAGTCAATTGCAGGCACTGAAAGGCTTGTTACCTTATGTCTGGTCTTTATGATTAAAAGGTCCAACTAGCACTAGAGTCCGTCTTTTTTGGAAATGGAGTAAATTGACAGTCCATTTTGCAAAAGTGTTGCCAGCTTGTAAGCAGCTAGTGATTGCAGTTGATAAATATTCTATTTACTTACGACTGAATGTTGGTTATGCTTATGCAATAAGTAACAGAACTTTCTTCATTTGGATCATCATTGGCCCATTATTTGTAGAACTCCTGGGCACAGGTTCATTTAAATTGTCAATTTTTGTAAGTTCATACATTTGAAACTTTTAAGTATAACTATTAAAAATACAAAGAGGTGATATATTTTAAAGTTTTTCATTTTCATTCAAAATAGGTAATAAAATCCACACATTCTTATTAAAATATATGTGAAAAAAAATTTATTTTGGTACTAGAAGGCGAACTCAAAATAAGACTAAAAATGACAATAATGCAATTAGTAATCATTACAATGTCATAATGTCCACAATTCCAACATTTTTGGCAAAATTTTACCTTATTTCACAATCTATCAATAAAACTGTCTACAACAACTACATAAAATCTTATGAAAACTGGTTATCTTACAATTGACTATTGACAATTTTACTCCGTCTTAAAAACACACAAACTGTAACAGTTATGGAAGCCTGACATGTCGCTTACCACTAGGTATACGTCTCACTCATTCTGTTACTTCGTTTTATAAAAAAATCATGTTTTACTCAAATCGTCAATTCTAATTTACAGGTTAGAAAAACCCCGAATGTCGCTAGTGCTATGGAAACCAAAAGACAATATATTAAAAATAAAAGAAGAAAAGGAACAAGAAAAAGAACATGACAAAAAACGCAATGGATTACTAGTAACTGAACCTGGAATGGATGTGGAAATGTGATATTATCCTATTGATATTGATGACAATGGTAATTGTTTTGTATCTAATTTAAACTGCATTTTACAAAAGACTAAATAAAGTATTGATTAAGAGTGAAGCATACATAGTAAATTCTCCTTAAAAAAGCAGTCTCTGATTATCATCTTATAGTGAATACCTCGAATGTGATTTCTGTGTGATTTTTTTGAAAAAAATGAAAATGTGGTGTAAAATATAGTAAACACAAATAGTTTGTAGTTAGCATTTTAATTAGTATAAATTATACATATACACAGAGATATTTGTAAAATGCTAACAATTTTGTACAACTATATTAACATCAGACTAAATTTAACAAAACTACACTTTAAAGTTTTTCTTGTCACTTTCTAGATCAGTATTTGCCAGAAAACCTGTTATTCTGCTGTTTTGTAGTTTTGCGTACATTAAGACAATGTTAGCGAATGAATATTGTGTAGTGTTGCCAGATGGTTACATTTCTTACGTTTTTCGTAACTTTTAATCTTTTCGCGTAATACAATGTGTTGATTTGCATTCTCGACATATTTACAGAGCTCATTTCTATACCCGAAATTGAACCCAAATCAGTAAAAAAATAAATCGAAAAATAAAATTTCGGAAATTCCTATTTTTTAATTTAATTGTTATTGTATATTATACCTAATCTGTGTTACTTTAAAAGTATAATTAAGGTTTATAAGTTTTACTTAAACAAAAATCCGCATATAGTTTATGCAATAATGCATATGCGAGGTTTTCACTCTAAGGCGATGAAGTGTTACAGTGATCAAAGCTATGTGTAGGACAATTTCAATTTATTACTGCTTTTCACGTGATGTGAAGTCATGTGAGTTCTACTATTGTATTCGTAATTTAACTTCATCAGAATCATTTTAGCAGCCTGTGTAGTGTTTAGTTAGGGTTACTTAAACGTTCATAGAAGCGCTACAGTGACACCATTGTGGCGCTGCAGCCGCGCCGCTACTAATCTTTATATATTACAACATTTAGAAGCGCAATTGAAGCGCCATTGTCGCGTGGCCACTTTTGCAGTTTCAGTGAACTAAAAATGACTGAAGCGTCACAGAAGTGCGGTTGCCGCGCCGCAGCAGCACTTCCACAAGTTAAAAAACAAAACGCAATAATTTGTCATAGGCTTTCTTTAAATGGGTATCGCCTTTTTGGATTCTTCATAGTCGGGGTGAAAAAAGGCAGTTAAACGTTTTAAAAACGCCCTATAAGGTTTGCCTCTAAATCAAGCCAGATACAAATACAAATAAATAAGACCGAAGAAGAGGCCACCACATTCAGAACTGAAAATAAATTTATTGTCTTTACTGAACTGGCTTTTGTATCATATGGTAGAGATAATTGTAAGTTATTAATTTGAATGACTCACATCCTCTCCAATTCTGGTAACTCTATCTGAAATATTAGTTGATAGAGTTACAAGAATTTGCAGAGGATGTGGTTTATATATTTCTGTATTTAATGGAGCAATAAACATTTTTGATGTAACTTCACTTATGCCATTCTTCCACGAGGGGTGCGAATTATAGATCTAAATAACATTGTGTATTAACTAATAATGCAAAGACTGGCATTCAGTCGCTACATTAACCCCATTCATGGTCAGATCATAAATAGTACTGCACAAAAATGGCACTTCTTTGCGCTGTAGTGCTTTAAATTGATTCAATGTAATAATATGTTCAATAAACCATTTAAAATTGATTCTATTAAATTCTGAAACGCCGTTATTGTCCATGAGCGGGTTAAGATAAGAAGCACTTAGTAGTATTCAATACCCCACATCTATGCAGAAGCATTCTTTCTAGAGGCATACATTATTAATTGATGAAGTTAAGCGAGATTAGGCTCTTCAGAACTTCCACTGCCCAATATCACTGCATCAGAAACTAAAGGTTTTCATTGGGCTATAAACAATCAATCTTATGGCTTTAATTCTTGTGGTAGATGACATACTTGAAAACTCACAGGACAGTCACAAAACGTGCTGTGACTTTATAGTCTAACCACTATTTAGTATTCGATCTATTGTGATTGCCCCATTAAGAGTGCCAAGCAAAATGCAACATAATTTATGACTGTGGAATTTTAGCCCACTTATACACACTAATCAATACCTTATTGTACTCTTAATAAGTTTTTATGATAATCAGGCTTGTTAATTATAGCAAACATACTGGTCATTTTCTTAATTATATATCTTGTGCTATTTTAAGTAAACATATATCTTAAGATTGATGTCTTATAGTTTAACAACATGTTTTAAACAGTCGAATAGACAGAATTTACGAGGAATAATAACCTCCACCTGAACTCCTGGAATAATTACAAAATAAAGGCAAAAAATGTAAACAAAATAGTTCTAATACCGTATATGTACGTATTAATGTATTTGCAAGTAACATCTAAAATAAGAGTTCATTATAGAGTATAGTAATTCTGGGATTTGAGAGGGAGGTAATATCCATTCCATGGCTATAACTTCTGTGAACTTTAAAGTAAATACCTTTACTTTACCTATTTGGATTTCTGGTTACAAAGCAAGTGCAGTGTTTGAATTGACATATATAACACTATTTTCATTTTAGGAGGTATTTCTACGCTCACTATAGAACTGTAGGACACGACGGTCCAAAAAGTCAAAAAGTTCGCGGAATGAAAAACTTATGAAATGATGAGTCGCTCGTTAGTATACATTACCGCGAATTAACCCCCCACTCCCGGGTTTAGCGCTCGTTCCGCGAACTTTTGGGACTCATCACATTTGTCACCAAAAATCTTGCAAAAACACATACAAGCGACGTCCTCTACGCGCGTTCGTGAAACGCAGCGCGTAAACCTAATTATATCGTATTACTTGTGTTGATATGAATGGGGAAAGTATTTTTTACCGGGCGGTTCTTTATAATTAATGTGTGCAAGGGTACACCAGTTGCGACTGTATTTGCACACGTAAGCGTAGATAAGGCGTCGTGTCGCATGAATAGGTATGATTCTTACTTACTGCAAGTTACTTGCGTAATGGAATGGGGGTACCCCCATATGCACAATCTCTATAGATGCTGGATATTTTATAAATATCTGAAATTACTTCTTTTCAAGTTTGTCGTAACAAGGTATCCTGGTACCACATGCCACACAAAGGTATCGTGGTACAGGTGCTCTTCAAATTCGATCGCCAGACCATGTCTCATCTTTTTATACTGTTCATAATTATTTACTTTCTATCTATGAAGTCCTTTTTGTGTCCATTCGATTATTGAAACGCTGCAATTAAGCTTTTTTGTCAACATAAATTGCACAACGTAGAAATGGAATTGTTTGGTTGTTTCTTAACCGGGAGTCTTTAAATTAGATGCTTATAGAAGCGCTGCAGTCACTGCACCACTGGGGCGTCGCAGCCGTTACAATACAAATTTTCATACAATGTAAAGACTCGCGAGCTGCCCACGTGCATTACGTTGAGCGTTCTGTTCGCGCGCCACAGACATTTTGTATTTAACAGCAAGCGTGTAGCGCACGTGAAGCGCACGTGAAGCGCGCGTGCGGTGCGCGTGCAGTGTGCAATCGCTAGATCTATACTCACCCTTAGAAGCGCAGTTGCAGCGCCACTGTTGTGACGTGCACGCCACTTTTACAGTAACAATTAGTGAACTAAAAATTTGTGAAGCGCTACAGACGCGCAGCTGCCATGCCTCAGCGCTCCCACAAGCGTCTAATTTGAAGGCGCACTTATGCATTAAATTTCAAACAAATATTAAAAATACAAATTTACACGAAACAAAGCCAAAATTGTGAACTTCGTCAAATCTGCGACCTTAGACAAATGGGGTTAAAGGCCATGTTAAGTCAATGTAAAAAATATTTCATTGTAAAATTTTGCGAACAATAAGGCCACGAATTCGCAATGTTGGATGGTGCGTTCAGCGCGGCGTTCAAGATTTGCGCGTACATTGCGCGCAAACGTATGTCTTGTGTTTGATATATCCAACACAAGATACAATGTACGCGCAATCCTTATACGCACCACCCCTGTTCCGAATTTGCGACCTAAGAAAGGCTGCAGCATTTCGGTAGAGAATTGACAATACCGTCATAGTTCAATATAATGTGTCGTGTAATATGTATTTACTTATTCTGTACTTGCTTATAATAATGTAATAATTAATTTCCGTTTTTTAAGATTGTCGAAGCTCGAATAAATCCTACTGAAAGAATTTTATTCAATAGATCTTTGTTTAAGATTTCGAGAAAGAAAGAGCGTTAAAGTCAAACTACTAAGTTACAATACGAGAAAAAAAACTGAAATAAATTTTAGTTTAATTTTTTATTTATTTTTACTATATTTATGTAATGGAGTCGTTTATGGCGAATAACAGAACTTTTAGTTGACAGAGCATGAAAATTTAACCCAAGTAGATCATTACTTAATTTGTTATAAAATTGGCTTTAACGTTCTTTTTATCCGAAAAATCGATAAGTAGTTCTAGATAGCCAGTAATTTTATCAAATCTATGTAGCCTCTATTAAAACTAGTATGTTTGATTTGTATTTCAAGTGTATGTAAATATTGTTAGACGTGAATGTGCATGGTTTATATTGTATGAAGACTTGCCTGTAAGGTAGAATGATATTATAAGAATAAAAACGTACCGAAAGTTAATTTCTGATTTTTATTACCAATAGATATATCCATACTGTGACGGTGTGACTTCCTCACACCGTCATCTCACCTTTTTGTACCGCCTCTCTCCATTCGTATCGTATAGTTTTTTCTTCTTCTACTCATATTTAAATTTAAAATGTTGAATTGTTCCATTTTACCTCGCATTCTGATTTTGTTTGTTTCCATCGCCACTCTCTACCTGATCGCGGCAGAGAACAACACATCGTCTTCCTATTTCTTTGAACCGTTTACAATTTTACTAAAAACCTCTTGCACTATACATATTTTAAGATCATAAATATTGTTAAAACCGAAATAAATACTTTTATAACTGGATTTATTACCATTACCCTTTACCCTTTTCAACTTCCGAACGTTAAACTCACTAAGCGAGATCTGCGCTCTACTGAACATTCCAAGCGGTAGCAGCAGCGGTACACGCTTTCATTAATGTGGATTGCAAGCTACATAACAATCCACCAGCACCACCAGAACAGCACCAGCCCTTCTACAATACTATCTATAAACACTGCAGTATAGCAGTTGCAGTGGCACTCAGAGCTTTAAAGTCGCAAAGATCTGAGGGTAGTTGACAAGTCCATTACTGTTTGGCGGCAGAAATTGGTCTGTATGCTATGCCTTCTATTCCGTTTTGCGGCAATTTAAAATGCAGAATTCCCAAGTTACGGAGCTAAATGGTGCAATTGTCTGACGCGTTTACAATTTACATGAGATTAAAAATAAAACAATAAATACAAATAAAGAACTTTATTTCACAACATCAACAGGTCCTTGAGTACTTAGCTTAAAGAAACCTAATGATCAGGGTAACAGTATAGTCATCTCAGTGAATACACGACATGCTAATAAAAATACCACAGCCGCTTTTTGTAAATTATGGAAATTCAAGAATTTGCCTAAAAAGTGCCAAGGTTTTTTTCAAATATCCTAGTTTAGTTACTACTTTCATAATTAGCTGTGTTAGAAAAATGGAACTTTTGAATTGAAACTACACACGTTTAACTCAATAACAGTCTTTATGGGAAATACAGTCAACCGCAAAATAATAATAAGTTCGATGATATCTTTTTATATAAAGGTCGTTCAGCAATATATTTTTTGGAACACAAATAGAATTTGTATTCATAAAGTTTATTAATGAATACATTACTATACATAATTTGATTGCACCGTTTTGTCACAACCGGACGAATTTACCTAATGTTTCTTGTGATCGCGCTCTAGGTAGCCGGTTACCGTTGTTCTGGTACGGGAAAATCCCCAATTTGAGACGAGTATATGTCATAGGTACCTATGTCAAAATGTTATGAAAAACGTGAAAAATAAAAATTTATTAATTTACATTACAATTTTTAACATGACAATTTTCTGGATAAAGTGAGGTGTTTTGGGTAAGGCAAGGTGAGATACCTACACTGAAAATAGAATTTCGGCTATTTGCAATAAAATTTGAAGTTCAATCGAAGTCACCGGTCAAACCAGAAATGCCAAATTGAGAATGCCACATGAATTTCCTGTTCTTCTTTCATTTAAGAGATTGTGGTAGATGTTTTTAATTTAAAACAATACTTTAAGTTGACTGTAATAGCAATAATACAATACAATAATTTATAAGACTCTTTGGTCATAGACTCATGAATAAAAAACGAAACACAAACATGCCATCAATAAATTGCTTGTTTAGTTAACACAGAATATCCATAGCCAGACTCGATGAGTTTCTAGACTTCAATACATAATAAATATCTGGTTTATTAGTAATGAGTCAAGTTTTGAAATATTCCAAGATTTTGATATCGATCTATCTACCTAGTTTTAAACGTCGATGGTATTAAACTTTAATTCTAAGTACAATATATTTAAAAATTGTGATCTTTTTTTATCAATTATTTTATTACTAAAAATTAACATATTAAAAGTACCTAATTAATGTCTTTTGAGACGGAATTTTTATTTACAATCTCTAAATGATTACTTAGATAGGTTAGTATTTTTCTCGCTAACTGTACTTGTTGCCAGCAGTTTAAAATTATAAAGCTGAGTGAAGAAAACTTTGATACATTTTTCACAGATGGCGTTACGTCATTTAAAACCAAAAACAAAGATCTGCAACAAGTACATAGAAAAATTCGTAAGGTCGATGGTTCGCTCCGTAGCCAGTTGGAAGTGCTCCAGTCACGGTGTACTAAGGCTTATGGTTCGAAATTAGCCGGATCGAAGGAGTTTTTTATTGTTCGATCTTTGTATTAATAAGCTTAAAATGACTTTATATTGAAATTTTAAAATCGTTATTTGAGATTCGTTTTCGTTGCAAAGTTTCGAAATAATTTCAGGTGCTATGCGCGGCGCTACTGTCGGAAACGGAGCCAATGGCCTCGAAGCAAAATTCAATTGTTTAATTGAAGCAAAAATTCAAACCTTTTATAAATAAATAAATATTAGACAACATCACATACGTTGCTCTGATCCCAAAGTAAGTAACTAAAGCTCTTGTGTTATGGAAATCGGAAACAACGACGGTACCACAAACACCCAGACCCGAGACAATATAGAAAAGTTAATTTCTACATTGGCCCGGCCGGGATCGAACCCGGGACATCAGTGATGGCCATAAAAACCGATGGCAAACCACTTCCACAGAGGTCGTCAAAAACCTTTTGATATTAATTTCACATTATTCAATACATATTAACTTTAACGGTAGCCGTGTCGAGGTCCCTCTTCATGTTCTCCAGCTGCTCTATGTCCTGGACGGAAGTCTCGCACTTCTGCACCACTAGAGAGTGGTAGAAGTGGATTGCGAACGCTACGAATACTATTAACACTGGAAAAGAAAAAACAGACAGAATTTTAGACCTTGTTAGTGACAACGTGACCTCCTTACATTGTCACCCCACCTTTTTATCGCATTTCCTCCGATTCCTGACCACTTGTTTTTAAATTTTGAATCGTTCTTTAATTCGTCTGCCTCGCCATTCTGATTTTGTTTCGTTCCATCGCCACTCACTGCTCGATCGCGGCAGCGAACAGTACTGCTCTAATTTTTAATTGCGTCTAATTTTGATTCTTTTATCAGTTTAATAACTACTACTAATCATGTGCCAATTTTAATACCAATACTGTATAACTCGGCCCTTTCGGCGTACGTCTGTCTCACGTTTAGTATTTAAGTAGGGAGTGTTTTATATCGTTGTACCTGTTTTTTATATATACTTTTTTTGTTACAGCCTCTTTTTTCCCCTTTCGATTTAATTAGGAATAATTTTTTTGCGTACCGAAGTATCCTATTTTATTGCCTTAAACCTGGCCACGGTTCATCAGGGTTTACAATCTTTTCATGTTTAATACATACAAACACTTTACGCGGTGTTTCCATTGAGGTAGATATCACAGTCTACGATTCTTTTTTAGTTAATTTTATTTGTGATCGGCCGCCAAGCCATAAGCGAATCTTATGAATGCGGTAGGACGCTTTCGGTGGAGCGGCCAGTGCTGCGCCTTCCAACTATAAACATATCCTCGCTAAAAACCGCTTGACTGTACATAGTTGATGGATACCGCTACGATTCTAAAATACATCTTTCGCCTCATCAACTGGCATCAGTGTTTTCATACATGCTCAACGGTTATGGGTAGTTTTGACCTGGCTTTCCTTTTGGACGTTTTTAATTGGTCGTGGTAAGTTCGCCTTGGTCGGCCCTTACCAAATTAACCAATTACATGGTTCCGATCCTAATAATGTGATTGGTCAGTTTAAAATTCTGATACCTTTTTAATACTAATTACTTATAGGTCCAGGGACAACCCTAGTGCACAAATAAATAATGAAGACCAAGTGTAAGTAGTTAGAAAACTCGCACGGCTCTTCAGTCCTTTCGAGACCAAGGACGTTGCAATTCGTCCAAAACGTCAAAGTAAGTAAAATATGTTTTTTGTACACGATTAAGTCCTGAATTTAAAATTAAATAATATTTATAGGGTCTGTAGGTCTTAAACCAACTTACAAAAATGGAGGAGATTTTCAATTTGATTGTATTTTTTTGTTTTTATGTTACGCGATTACTCCGACATTTTGTGAACCGATTTCTAAGCGCTTAGCGACGTTATGAAGTTCTTATTCTTTAATTTCTTTTTTAAATTAATTTTAATTTCTTTATTTACGGATATAAATATGTAAAGGTGCGTATAGATTCGTTCTTCATTGTCGATCGTTAATGTCGGTCGACAATGTCGGTCGATGTATAAATATGTACCTGGTATAACAATGACAGTGGCTGCAGTGGCCGCCGCGAAGGAATAATCCCAGAACTTGACCCAGCAGAGTATCGCTATCTCCACCAGGAATAGGAATAAACCTAAAAAATACAAATAACTATTTTAGTACAAACTATTCAATCATTTGCATGATGTTTATGGAGGTGTTATCGTATCCTTGGTGTATTAAGGCCACATCTGTAAAATGACAACTTTTCAGGAGAGAGGTATAAAGATTCTAACGGACGAAATTAGCAGTGGCATAGCGTGGGGGGTGCAGAGGGGGCCATGTCCCCGGGCGGCACAATGGGGGCTTCGGCGAGCTCAGCTGAGGCCTAAAAAGTCACAATAATTATTTTCTTACTTAAAATTAGAAAATAAATTCCATTAATTGAGAAAACGATATCCTGAACAACACAAAAGTGGCGAAGGCAGGTGAACATAAAAACACAATCAAGCCGAACCTGCCCGAACGAAATGCTGAAATATGAAAGTTCATGAAATTTCATGTGATAAAAGCACTTTCGACGTGTGATCACTATGTGGCTTTATTACACCAAGAGTACGTATAATATTAATAATAAAAGAAATAAATATTGAAAAGAAACATTATGCCGAAAGTCGAAGATAGAAAAAGGACCACAAATCCTTTCGATGTTTAGCCTTCAACGCTCATTGTGAAGTTGAGAAGTAAAAAAACAGTAGGGTTAGCACGAGAGGGCGAGACTAGCGCGAGATACTGTTATTCTCGCATAGAGATTTCACGTTATAGGTCGCTCTCGCGCAAGTCGTGTCTTGTCGTGCTAGCCCTACTTTAATTTTTTACACGGGACTTGTCAACTTAAGTCTCAGGGTGACGGGCGCAGTGGGAGTGCCCCTCAGATCTCTTGCGACTTAAAGCTCTGAGTGGCACTGCAACTGCTATGGACAGGCGTGTCGCTTTCCACCAGGCGCAAGACTCGTTCGTCTCGTCACTTGGTATCATGAAACTAATAATAATTTCAATGCCTCCTCAAATTTTAACCAGCCTCTGTGGCCGAATGGTTACCATGCTGGACTGCCACGCAGAGGTGCCAGGTTCGATTCCCGGCCCGGGAGAAATATTTGTATGGCCCATTGATTTCTCTCGTGAGTTTGTGTGTAATTTGTTGTTGTCTATGTGTGTGTCCATGGCACCATGACTCAGGGTTTCCCTAGTGCGGGGCTATGTTGAATGCGTGCGTTATTAGAAAAGAAAAAAAATGCATTTATCTCTTTAATTATAAATAAGAAAAGGGCAAAATTTTATTATTTTATGTTTCTAAGTGACAGGAGGAACAAGTCGTGCGCCTAGTGGTAAGCGACACGCTTATTCATAACAGTTGCAGTGCCACTCAGAGATTTCAGTCGCAAAGAACTGATAGGCACTCGCGTTCGTCACTCTGAGACATTAAGTTGACTCCAGCAGGATTTACATTTTTCTGTTGTGTCGTGTCGTGTCAGAACGGTATCGGTTTCATACATTTAATATAGTTACATTAAATGTATTATACTGGTGTGTTGCAACCTGACGTGACGGCTTGTGCTGTGTGTATGGAACCGATACCGTACTGACGCGTCACGACACGATACGTTAGAGAAATGTAAATCTGGCTAGTCTCGTGTGTCTGTAATTTCGCTAGGACCGTTACAAAACGCAGGAATAGATATGACGGCAGTATTTCCTTGGAAGAACTCTTTCACAAGGAGATCTATCGATAGAGTTGTAGACGAAATGGGAATTAGACGAATTGGAAAAAACAAGTGAACCGATCGGGAAAGTAGACGAATAGTGAAAGTGGACCGATCGGGAAAGTAGATCAATTGTACCGAACGGGGAAGTAGTTCATAAGTAGCGTACAATTTGACAATTAAAAAATTTAATTGCCCTGTATTTTCTTATTGTTAGCGAAAGAGATTAACGCACGAAATCCAGTTTAAGACTCGTATTGAATCAATCTCCAGAGCCTAACCGTTAAGATCTTCCTTAAGTCGACTGTCTTTATTAATAAATTATCACTTCTACGTCGAGTCGGGACGTCTGTCGTCGAAAAAGACTTTTTCGCTCTTATCTCAAGCCGGGTACACGTCAATAAGACTCTTGATAATTGGTGAATTTTGACAACTCTCAAATGATGCGTAATCAATGACCAACTATATGTGATCCCTTTTTTTAAACCGACTTCAAAAAAGGAGGAGGTTCGCAATTCGACTGTATGTTTTTTTTGTATGTATGTTACGAGATAACTTTTGTAGATAGATAATTTGTGAACCGATTTTGATGATTCTTTTTTTATTGGAAAGAGGGTAATAGTGGTCCCATTGAATTCAAAGGGAAAATGTTGCTAGACTTCTGGGCACAATGCCACAGGGTAAGGCCCTCGAGGAATTTTTTATTTATAAACTTTCTTACTTTTTTATGTATCTAGTTGTTATAGTTAGTTAAGATTTATTATTAAATAGTCCCATTTATATTTGGAGAAAATATTCCACCTCTGAGGGTGACAAACTAGGGGATAATTGTCCAACCTCAAATGTTGGTTCTCGGGTCTTGGTGTTTATGGTACCTTCGTTGTTTCCGATTTCCATAACACAAGTGCTTTAGTTATTTACTTTGGGATATGTGCAACGTATGTGATGTTCTCTAACATTTATTTATATAAATGGATAGATATTTAAAAAATGGCATTTAATCTTGTATTCTCATGAGCATTTTCATAACTAATCTTTCGTGTCATTACTCACCACCTCTACTAATCGTGTACTGACTTTGACCCAGATAGATAAACCACAGCAAGAGCCCCAACGTGGCTACGTACAGGCAATAGAAGTTGGTTCGAGTCCAGTTGAATCGGAGGAATTTTTCTTTGTATTTGTTCGACCTTTTTATCCATAGTAATAGACAACAAACTTTTGGAGTATTTTTACAAAAAAATTTATGTATACAGGTTCTAATCCTTAAGTGTGCCCAGGCGATTATTCCATAAATATAAGAGACATCAAAAAGTTTTACACTGATATCGAAAGTACGTTACCCAAGTAAATCCGATATCAATGACTTTTAAAAAATAAAACTAAAAATATCGAAAATTTTAACATTAAACATTCAAATACATTTAATATGACATTCGTAGCTCTCTAAGAGGTAACAATAAGTTACAGATAACAAAACTGCTATAAATAAAGTAATGAAATTGTCTTTTAATTGAATAAAAATATTGTGTCTATTACTTGATCAAGTGTGAGTTGTCTATAAAAATGAATAAAATCAATCAATTTTTATTTAATCTCTCTCTCGCCTTCTAGACTCAGTTTCAAGTAAGGATCATTTCATTGTACGGGACGAAAAAAATTGAGACAGCCGAAGTTCATCAAACAGTTGTTCATTTTGTATGAGAAAAACATTTTGTTAAATTTGATTGCGTAAAATACTATTATGAGTTCTCACAGAATCAAAGGACACACATTTTTTTTTGTTTGTGTTTGTTTGATTGTTTGTATCGATAATAATAACACAGGAAGAGTAATCAAAAGAATACCTCTTTAATGGGCTGTCCTCTTCAAATTCATAATAATAACGCTCATAGCCCTGCACTAGGGAAATCCCGTATCGCGGGAGACATGGACACACATAGACAACCACAAATTACACTCAAACTCACGAGAGAGATAAATGTAGGCTATTCAAATATTCGCATTCGAATCTAACCCAGGACCTCTGCGTGACAGACCAGCAAGGTAACCGTTCGGCCATGGAGGTAGTTAAATAATTTAAACTGCGCTCGGACTTACCTAAGACAGTACTAAACGCCCACGCCAATTCAATGAAGCCTCTCATCCTTTCATGGGGTGAATCCCGTAGAGCACTCGTAGGTCCTCCAGGCGTCTCCATCTTGCTTACAGCATCGATATTAGGTAATAAATAAGTGGAGATCATAAGAGCGAAGATGTGGACAGCTACTAATACTGTGGTACAGACGGCAAACATAACGAAGAGCCATTCTGGCACATTTGTTGGCTCGTTGATTTGAAGTTCCACCATCGCTACCATGGCGAAACCTGTAACAGGTAAGGACATGCTTTTATAACATTTTTTATTATTATACACTTTGTATTGTTAGTTGACGACGACTTAAATTTATAATAATAATAATATAATAATATTTTATTTTCCCCACAAAATACAAACGACAAATAAATGTCTTTCTAATTTTAGGACAGAATTTTGTAGATCTGGTGCTTGCTATATATTTTAAAACCAGTGCTACTACAAGTACCTACTCGATCTATTTGTACCTACCTACTGTAGTACCTACTGTAGCTGCTGACTAAAGCTCAGAGAACTCTGTTTTTCCTGTGAGTATAGTGTCCTGTGATTCTGTTTTAGTCAGCGGCTCTGTACTCTATAAGCAACGGCCTTTTCCTAAGTAACGTTACACTTAGTATTTCTCTAACTTTCTTATAAGCGTATTTTACCCAATATAAGGCTTTTTTCTAACAATAAATTATTATTATATTATTCTCGATGCAGTATGGGAGTAAAATTTACTTTATTCCGTGCATATTGCCAAAGCTTTAATACTAGCGGCCTGCGGGCTCATTTCAGGCAGAGGTCCTTCAGTTCCTTGCGGATCCTATACAATAACGTCTTTAGGGCACTGTTGAGGCTCCCGCGATATTGCAGTGTTTCAGGCATATTCCCGAACGCGAACGTAGTCAATTTTTATGACATACTACGCAAAAAGACTGTATCAATAGTACGTCGTATACGGAGGAGCGCCAACGGTATCCTTAAGATGATTGCCGACCTACACATATCGAGCTACACATTCGAAAAAGTGTACCTCGATAGATCGGATTTTTGGATTTTAATCTTTTTATTTTATCTTCGCTATTTCTTACTAACATAGGTATTAAGTTGTGAAACTAACCGGCTATGGACTTAATTTGTCTGAAAATAAATAATATTTATTTTTATTTTCTTATTTTTATTATCGCTCAGAGGAGTTTTCCTGAACACCCATGTTAATTTCAAGAAGTACATTACAGAACGGAATGTTAAATAGCATTTAATTTTTATGACTTATGGACGTACATAATTGTATGTAATTTACTATTAAAATAAAACATTATAACAAATTCTTGAATAACTTGCAGCTATTTGTGAAGTTTATGTTAGAAATATTTTTTTTATGATATCAAGTGACGGGACGAACAAATCGTGTGCCTAGTGGTAAGCGACACGTTTGCCCATAGCAGTTGCAGTGCTACTCAGAGTTTTAAGAAGCAAAGATTTTGAGGGGCACTCACACTGCGCCCGTGACCCTGAGATATAAGTTAAAAAGTCCTATGTGTCTGTAATTAACGCACACACTCAATATAGTCCGCACTAGGGAAATCCTGTGTCGCGGGTGCCATGGACACACACTTATACAACCATAAATTACACCCAAACTCACGAGAGAAATAAATGTAGGCCATACAAATATTTCTCCCAGCCCGGGAATCGAACCTGAGACCTCTGCGTGGCAGTCCGATTTGGTAACCGTTCGGTCACAGATGCAGTTAAAATTTCACAAGCACCCTTCAAAACCAAAACGCAGTAATGCAATAAAGTAATTAAAGATTACAACTTGATGGCTCTAATAATAGATAAAGCCGTACTTCCCTGGACGAATTCATTCATAAGGAGCTCTACTGCTATCAACCTACCTGCCTGGTCTTTCAAATCGTTAATGAATTACATAGGTACATATACTTCTTATATAATATATTAACATACAATATGGATTGTTAATAAAACCAAAAGTATGTATTTAAATTACAAGACTGACACAATAACCGATTATAATAAAGGCTTTAGTCTCTATTACCGAGCTGCGTCAATGAAAATATTACACGCTGTTGAAATTTTTTGTTATGTTTATGTAAGAATGTGGGTACCTATATGACGTAAGTATATGCCGTGGCACATGGCTTGATACAGCTTCTATTTACCTGCAGTTTCTGTTTAAACACAGTTACTGTCCACTTGAAATGATAATAATAACTCTTTATTGCACAAAGAAAAGATACATGAAACACAAGTTATAAAGGACATATACAAAGGTGAGCTTATCTCTAGAAGAGATCTCTTCCAGCCAACCCTAGCCTAGGTGAAAAATGAAGTCTGCGGGACTAATTATTGTACAATAAAATTTAAATTTAAATGTATTAATGTATAATGATTATGTTATTTCAAGTTTATATTGCTTTCAGTTTTTTTTTTCAAATAAATAGATCTTATTTGTGAAATGTTTTAACAATAATTATAAGGAAAAGAAACATGGAACCTTCATCATTCATAATCATCAATCCATTTATACGTCCCACTGCTGTGCACGGGTCTCCTCTCAGGCGAGGTTTTGTAAGTCCGCCATACTGGCACAAAGCGGGTTAGGGACTTCGCGCGTTTTCCGAGGGTTGTGAACCTTCTTTGACGTGTAGGATTCCTGAAGATGTTTTCCTTCACCGAGAAGCTCTTGGTAACTTTTAAACTTTGTTTCGCACATAAATTCCAAAAAACTCAGAAGTACGGGCCTCTATTCGAAATCCCGGCTTCTGCTTTAGACGCGATAGGACGAACCAACGAACCATTAGACTACAACGGCTTTCTTTAATATTTTTTTTGCTTTTTTACATTGAATCTTACCTGATAATAATTCCGAGGTAGTAGCTGTGGCTTTGAGTTTTGCCCGTGACATATGAAGTCTCCTCCACGATAGTCCATCGGGGGAGTTGTTTGCTGCTGCTTCTTCATTCCATCCTGGCGAAGTTGGCATTGTCAGAGCCACTTCGCTTACACTCTGAAATAACAGAATTATTCAAATGTAGTATTACATATACGTACTTCGCCATAAGAGCTAAAAGATGTCCTTTCTCTGAAGTAGATTGCCGCAGAGTATACTCCTCGACAGCTTGTGACCAAAGAGGTCATAACTCTGGAGCTATATTTAACTGAGTTTTTCGGAAGCCTTTCATAAAACCTTCGCCAGCGATAATCAATATCCTCGTAAACATTGGTCTTGAAGTTCTTTTTTCTTACAATTTTATGTTTTAACATTGTGAACTCCTATTTCCGTGAGTATACTTCACTAATAGGTGGTCATTACTAAAATTTGATCTCTTAAATATGTAATTCACTGTTAAAACGACGTCAGAAGCAATCAATATTAAAATGACCTTAATCTAATTACAGTCAATCTGTAGTTCAATCAGTTATACCGGTTGTAGATGCAAACGTGACTATAAACAGGAGTGTCGAATTTGGTAAAATATACTATGTCAGTCGATTACCTATTTTAATGGTTTTAATTTTGTTAACTTCGCCCCTATTTAACCAACTTCAATTCGATTAAATTTTTTGTGTAAATTACTCCGACAATATTATGTGAACCGATTTCGATGATTCTTTTTTGTTGGAAAGGGGGTATCTCAGTAGTGGTCCCGTTCAAATTTGAAAAAAAAAGGGTGGCAAATTAGGCGATGAAACCGATTTATTGGATTTCACCCACTTCCTATTAATCGATTTCAATTAAACTTGGCAAATAGATGTAATTCCACAAACTTTTGAGGTGGTTTTTATTTAATAAAAAAGTTCAGAATATGCTCAGTCAGCATCAAAAATATAATTTTAATAATTTTTTTAAGGATTTATTCTTTTTAATTCCATAGAAAATCAGAATTGGTGGTGCAGTAACACGGCTGTATTGAGGGCTAAATGACTTTGTAATTTAGTTTTGGGTAAATAGGTATTTTTGAGTAAATTGTTAAGTTATATCTAATGATCTTATATCATTTTTAACCGACTTCAAAAAGGAGGAGGTTCTCAATTCGACTATATGTTTTTTTTGTATGCATGTTACGCGATAAATCAAAATTTCTTCTTTTCTTTTTTTGTTGGAGAGAAGGTACCTCAGTAGTGGTCCCATTTAAATTTGAAGTAAATATTCCATCTGTAAGGTTGGCAAACTAGGAGATGAATAACTTTTGAGGTTGTTTGTTTTAGTATTCTGTACTGGGATTATAGATTACAAGAGTCTAGCTCATAAATAACATGATGACTGGGATTATATTGACTTACCTTTATAGACTGACTACACTGACAGCCCTGCAAATACGTGGGACTAAGTAGCACTGTTGTTGCACTAGTCCTTGAATTCATCCCGTTTGGGGTCGCACAACCGTTTGGACTCGCCCCTCCTTTGGAGCAAACGTATTCCAAGCTATGTGGCGGGGTCACTGATATCGTCGGACTGTCAGATGCGTTAACTTTGTATCTGTGAATCATTATTTAAAGCATAAAACTTTCTGAGCATACTGTCACGCCGCCGCCGCCGTCTCTCATGTAGATTGTGAGCTGATATGAATGTGGATAACACGAGCTACCCTCCATATCATAACTAACGCATATGTATTTCGGTAACTTTCCAAATATTAGCACCTAAAGTTTTTTTTGCTACTACAATTGTCAATTACACTGATTTTAAGTAACAATAAAACTGAAACTAAATAAGATGATAAAAAACTTTCGCTAATTCCAAGTATAAGTAATAAGTATAACCCGTGATCGGAATTGAAGGGGTTAATTTACCTAAATCATGAACGTTTTCTTAGTATGGACATAACCTTTTCGTCATCTTGATGATTTAAATTTTATATGCATTGGCGTATAAAATTTTTTTTTACTGTTTATTCTCTAAACATTCCAAAATATAGGTTGTCTCTTCTTTATTTTTTAAATGGCTAAAGTATTTAAATACGTAAGTACTCAATCAGAAACACAAATTTAGTAGCAGTACAGCTCCTTGTAAAAGAGTTCGTCCAGGGAAGTACTGCCACCTTACCTATTTCACCGCCAAACAGTAATGTGAGCATTACTGCGTTCCGGCTTAGAAGGGTTGCTGGTGAAATTATAGGCACATGGGACTTGTCAACTTATGTCACAGGGTGACGGGCGTAGTAGCAGTGACCCTCACATCTTCGCGATTTTAAACTCTGATTGGCACTGCAACTGTTATGGACACGCGTGTAGCTTACCATTAGGCGCACAATTTGTTCGTCTCATCACTTGATATTATAAAAAAAAAATTGAGACCATAATTTGTAGGAAATATCATGAATGTATTCAAATGTCAATAAATAAAACCTACTCACAATGAAATACAATAATTTCCGAGAATTCCCAGGATTTGTAAAAGGGAATGTCCATATTATTCTTTAGTTAAGCTAAATTGACTCCCTCAATTCCTAGTTAATGACTCAATTTAGCAAAAATGTTGATTACGTTAGTTATCATTAGGAGGGCAGAGATGCGCTATCAATGAAGTTTGCCATTACAATGTAGGTAATAAAGAACCTTACTTGAACATTACTTCAGAAATCAATATTTTCCATTCAACTAACCTAATATAAACAAATATAAACAACTTTCAGTAAGTAAGAAAGTAAAAAATCAAGAAACAGAACATAACACAAGTCACAACTAACAAAGGAAGTTCACATACACAATACACTAAATGTTATAGCATGAGTTAAACGAACCGGTTTAATTGGGAGAGCAATTACGAAAAGTTCCGAGGTATTAATATGTCACAAGGTTAGAAATACCACAAAATTACTTTCAGAAAATAGGACGACGTGCACTATGTAATGTACTAGTTTTATTTCATTAGTAAGTAACATGACAGTTAAAATTATCTGTCTACCGCCACATTGTCTTTTGAATTATAACATCACGTATTGTTTACTTGTATTGGATATCGTAGGAAAGGATGTTAACGTCTCTGTATTTTTAACACCTTCAAAATAGCCCAAAAATTAAGCCACCTGACTCAAAATTAAGTATTTACTAATCAGTAATATCTTAGCAGTAGGTAGGTGTTTTATAAAAGTAAGATAAACGTACAATCCCACATGCATTAGTAACATTAAAACCAATTAAACTAGTAGTTTCTTACTTTGCAGGCGCATATCCACTATCATAGCTTGGCGGTTTCCCAAAAAACGGGTAAGAATCGCTGAGACCTAAGCTCTTTGGTCGGTGGATTTGACGGTAATGCTTATTTGGTGATCGCTCGTAGATGTGGTCGGTGGTGTTGTACCTTTGGAGCGTGCGTGATCGGGGCTTCCCGCTCGGAGGGGTCTGCGTACATTGGTCGATACGAGTAGCTTCTTCAACGCTCGTCACGAAGCTTGCCTCCGAAATCTGAAAAAAAGAATGTCAATTATTTTCAGGGTTACACAATTATCAAGATATTTATTTTCTTTTGATAATTATGACCATAATTATCAATCCTGATTTATGATTTTGTCTCTTCAGTAACTAAAATAAATAAACACGAAGAAAAATCTTTGGGAAAACGTGTGATTTTTTTTGGTATTTGACGCGTTTGAATATTATGTTTTCAAAGACATATTCATGAGATTGAATGTTGTATCAGTACAATCACGTAAAAAGACATTGCTAACAGCAGCATTTTGTTATCCAAATTAATATTACAAATATCAAGATATAAGGTATATTTATCAAGTTTATTGCCCAAGTCCAACAGCAAATATATATATTTAATTGGATTTGGCCGTTCTAATTAGAATAAATAAATAAAAAAAAATAAAAATCAAGTTAATTATCATTGATAATTATCACTTCGAACTCTGTTATTTAACTTTCAACTATACGAGTATATGAAATAACATTACATACACATATTCTTGGCATTTATTTCCATAGATATAATTTGAAGGTACGGAATTTCTACTAGTGTTCGTGAAATTGTTTATTTGTAAGCCATGTGCATAAAATACTTTCCTTGACAATAAAAACGCAGCACATGTATATCCACGTGAGCGATCTGTGTAACTGGGTATGCATGCAATTATTTTGCCAGGTGACCGTACAAGCTATCGTTCTTTAAATAATTGTAGTTAAATTTGATTCATATCCTTTAGTGTCTTTACTGCTTGATGACATCACAACACCAAAAACACACACACACATTAGAATATTTACGTTAAATGGGTCATTTGTCCCAAGGACTATTTTCCGAGCGTGGGATTCTCTGTGAAATATAACAAGTAAATAAAACATACTGTAACGATTAAATTTCAATTTAGCACCGTCCAGCATAAACATGTTATTTAATGTTGAATAATGTGAGAAGTTCTTACTATAGTTTCAATTTGCCCCTTGCGAATGTTACTCGTGTTTTTCGTAAAAAGATTGTTATTAAGGGACAGAGACTTGACTGAACAGTTGAGTTTAGTATTATTTTATGGATGAAATAAGGTCATTTGTTCTCCGTGTCCATTTTTTTATGATACCAAGTGACGGGACGAACAAGTCGTGTGACTGGTGTGAAGCGACACGCCTGTCCATAGCATCTGCAGTGTCACTCAGAGTTTTAAACCCAAAGATCTGAGAGACACTACCACTGTGCCTGTAACCCTGAGACATAAGTTGACAAGTTCCATGTGCCTGTAATTTCACAAGTACTCTTACTCTTCAACACCGTAACGCAGTAATGTGAGCATTACTGCTTGGCGGGAGAAATAAGTAAAGTGGCAATAGGTACTTTACTGGACGAACTATTTCACAAGGAGCTCTAGCTTCTCGACCTGATGGAAAGTGACAATGAGGTCGACGATGGAGCATGCACACCTATAACATGCCTATTCACTCTCGCCTTAAAATGGCCAAAGTTATAGCATTTAAGGAACAAATCTGCAGCAGGGATTTCCACTCCGATGCCGTCTACCTTATAGATGTGGAAGCTTAATTCTTCAAGCGAATATTGGGTATATCCACAACATAGGGGTGGAACCCTAGCCTACATCTAGTCCTCTATGATATAATGAGGATGGAATTTTGAGTTTTTGTGAAAATTACTTTGTAGCTGCATACGTTACGTCTGTTCGCCGCGACGGCCATAGTGTTCTTCTTTTGTGAAGGACACTGCAGTTGGCCACTGATGCTTTTGACTGTGCCACCAGATGAAAGGGCGAGCTGAAGGCTCTCAATCCATTAAAAAATAAAACGAAACTAAAACTAAGTAGCGGGTCTGAGGGCGCCCAAGCGGGCTTGGACCTCGACTCGAATAGAAGCACAGGTCAGGGCGCTACCTGGGGACTTCCTTCGGAAGGGCGTGCTGTAGGAATAATCTGCGCACGCTCTGAACTGGGGCTCCTCGTCCTCGCTGGCGATGACAGTCATGACGTGTGAAGCACATGAGTCGCGTATCTTTGTACTAGTAAGATAGCAATACATTTGTCTCGCTTTTGCAAATAATGAAGGCCCTCTGATTGGTTAATTGTGTATTCAACACTTAGAGGTATACAATTCAGATATTTTTATTAGCCTAAGTAGAGCGAAAATACATTTACCAATAAATGCATTTTTTTTCTGGTTCTGGTTCGAACTCTCATCAGCGTTTCACCGAAACCTACCTGCAGCTACAGAACTACTAAGGAAGAGCACCTAAATTAGCAATTCGGACCCCCTAAAATTTCATGTAATTCCGTCGTATATCCTGTAGAAATACTATACTGGCAAGTAGGCAACTTTACGGCGTTGTTAAAGTCTCCTGATTATCGTCTTATTTTAGCTTGTTTTTTGGCTTAGGTTTTGATATGTACTTAAACATATATTTGACATTTAATTTTGGTACTTAAGCACAAATATTATTACACCTTTGGGGTAAGCTTGTAAATCACGTAAGTGGCAAAAACACGAGCAAAAAAATTACACGCAAATCGTCGCAAACGAGGCGTAACAGAGGCATGATGGGTGTTGTGGAAAACAGCGAGAAAACTGTCATTTTTTTTATTGTCGGTGTTTAAACGGTAATCACCGGCATTGACATTGGTTCATCACATCATACCAGGGGCTAAAATGCGTGACAGAAATGATTTACGTAGTCACGTGCATTTAATTGTTTTGTTCTGTGCTGTGTGCTTTTAGTGTGTTTTGTTTTATCGTGGATCGCAATAACCGCAATAAAAAGGATCATGAAGCTATACAGGAGCATTTTTAAAACACTAACAACTGCGCAGGAAACATACATACTAACGTCATTAACAGCAACCATCCAAATCTATGCTTTTAATTTTTCATCAGATTTTACTTACAAAACAAAAATTAAAATATTCAAATAAAAAAAGAAGGCGCTGGTGTACTTAAATACTAGTTCAATGTAGGTAGGTACATAACAAGAGCGGGGCTGGGGGACGTCGGGAAGGACGCTTGCACGTTCGAATTTACTACCTTACTACCAAATACAGATCTAAAAATGACAAATAGTACTAAGTACAACAAAAACTATTTATAATTTGTAAATAGTACACAGAGAATGTCATAAACGAACGCTGTCATCGAAACACGTGCGCAGGAATTGATGACGTTTATAGTGACGTGTATCCCCAGTGATTTCGCACCTTTAGCCGTAATGAGGCCACTTCTGCATAATGACTACTTTTTAGGAAAGAGGTTTAAAAATTCTATGAGCGAAATAAGTCGAAAACTTTTTTATGTTAAAATAGGAGAGTTATAAAATTTCACATACATAATTTGTTTCATGCAGTTCATATTAATGTCAATTTTCATGTGATAAAAGCACTTTTGACGTATGTTCACATGTGGCTTTATTATACTAAGGGTACGACTTCAATTATAAGTGCGTAATGTTCTCTTCTGTAGTACCTACCGTTCTACAATTTACCTATTAGACTAATTTTGTGATAAAAATGAAGCGTAGGAGTATAGTTAAGAAAAAGGAATCAAAAGAACGTGGCATTAGCCACATATTTATATATATATATATACAGGGTTATTTATTACTAGCTATATGCAATAAAAGCTTCAAATTGTTATCGTCACTAGTAAGTTGTTGTATAAGATGCTAATAATATTGTCTTAATATAGGTATTATTTACTTCGATATTACTGCGAGGTTCTTAATATAGGTATTCTAGGTATTACAATTAACCCTTGCCCCATCCCATCTCCAGCACACCAGCCAGAAGGCTGGCTCCGCAGCTGAGCTGGCGGAAAGAATAAAAAGTAATAAGTACCAGGACCTAGGCTCCGACTACCTATTTACAGCCTTTGGAGTCGAAACCATTGGCCTGAGGGGTCCTGGTGCCCTTCATATGTACAGAATTGTGTTCAAAAAAATTAATAGTCTGTTTGGCCAACCCAATCAACCCAAGGGCCGGCAGCTACCTTGCCCAACGCATTAGCATAGCCATACAAAGGGGGAACGCTGCCAGCATGTTGGGAAACTAAGTAAACATTATTTATTAAACGCCACGGAAGAAAAGTTGACGTTTATGTTGTTAGTAATGTAGTCCTGCAAGGCTGTTAGTATTTTATAAATAACCCCGTATATTCCAAAAGAGCACTCATTTGTAAAAATTATAAAGCTCGGTCTCTAAGGAAGCACGTGAACACAGAGTGAAGTATTTTTATTCAAAGTATACACATTTTCTATTGACTTAGTTAGTCCTATTCATTAAGTTGCAAAAATGTTATTACATGTTGTGCGTGGTTTTTACTAAGCTACAAAGTTTGTTTCTGGTTAGTGTCATAGTTTTACTTGTATTATATAATTTGTATATTGTGACTGTACCAAAATAAATTAAAAAATAATAATAAAAACTAACAGCTACACTAATTACCTGGTCTCCATCTAGGAAGCACCCTGTTATGAGTACCAGAGTAACCATAACTTAGGGAACACTACCCACAACACGCAAATCAAAACATGTACCTACAAAAGATCGTTTCCTGAATTAGACTGACAATAGAAGTGCTCGGGTTTTAACGCGGTGCTTTGTTAACGCCTGGTTTAAATCTGGTAATAACCCATTCACGCTCGAAATTGTGGGCAAAAACGATTTACAATTATACATTTCTAAATCAATGTTTGTCAAATGTAATACAATACAAAAATTCTTTATTGTACACCAAAAAAGGAAACAAATCAAATACAGCTAAATTAAAAATAAGTGGTAATACAATGAGCAATCTTATCGCTTTAAGCGATTTCTGCCAGACAATCTTTGGATGGAAGTAATTCTATAATTTACAGGAAAAAGACGGCGGTGTATGAAGAATTACTAATCAATAGATATCAATCAATCAATCAATCAAATCGTTTATAGTCGATACAAAAACGATAAATAATTACAAAAATACACATATTTATAAAT